AGCTGTGATGGACGGTGAGAGGCTGTCTGGAAAAAAATGAGAGCCAGGGCTGCTCTCCAGTACACACTCTGATTTTATGTGATCTGAAACAGTGCATCTACAACGTGGATAATGTCTCATCTAATGAGGCGTGACGGTCGAACTGTGCAGTCACATCATACATGCATTGCACATGCTCCACCTCACAGCATAAAATGCATCAGGTGTCTCAACAGCAAGTCTTTGTGATTAGTGGTGCTGTGAATATTTCAGGCTTCTGCTGTATAGTTTGTTCCTAAATTTAAATGTGCCAAATAATTTCTTGGCCACATGGACAGACACGTAGTCTTCATTGGCCTGAGCTTGTTTATATGTGCTGTCGAGTGTGTGAATGACAGCAAAGATGCAGATTAACACAAACAAATTGAGTAACTGGCAGGGACCGCTAAGTGATAAAGATTAACAATCAAGATAACACATTTTTGAAGAGGTTCATGGTCACAAATCAAATAAAAAAAAAATAATAATTTGATTGATGGAATTATCCTTGAGAAGTTGATTTACATTTGATTAACTCTCTTCAGTATGAGGAGAAACAAAAACAGCACAATAGCTATGTAGATATAAAAAAGGTGTTTTTACATCATTTAAACTCAAACAGGCGGCCTGAAAAGGCCTTAGTATGTCTTTTACAATAAAGAAACTACAGATGAACCACAATGATCCCTTTGGCAGCGGTTATTAAGGCTGAATCAAGCCCACTAAGCCATATTCTAAAATAGCAACCGTTAGTCAACAGTCGCAGCCTGCACTAGGATTTTTGTAATAATCCATAGAGGCTTGGCGGCAGAAGGTCAAACTCAGGTTAAATGTCATTGAACAATAGTTTTTAGACACATGGCAAAGCATGCACTGGCTTTTGTTGGCCTTGGGATTTATTTCTGATAGAGTTTTTAACTGCAGGGTAAATTTGAATAAAATAACCTAAGATTACAAAATAATAATAAAAAATGAATAAAATTGTATAAATGAAATAAAGTAACCAGAATTAGCTAAAAGACGATCGCAGGGAAATTATTTCAGGTATGCTGACAGACCAAATAACCAAAGAAGTGGGTTCCCAGCTCACATCAAGACAAATTTCATTAATGCCTTTTAAATTACATCCTGGAGATCAACAGTTTGCCTACAACTACAGAGTTTTAAAGAAAGAACGCATAGTTTTGACAAAATGTTTGGAAGGCGTGCTATCCTGCCTGTGTTTAGCCCACTTTATTCTAACACTCCCAAATAAAACCAAGAACATGATCCCGCAAACAGCATTAAAAGTTTGTGTAAAATTGCTGAGAAGTATAGAGTTTACAGCAAGGTTACATTGCAGAATAACATTACATGTACTATCATATAATTACTATTATAACTATAAAATTTGAAATAAATAATAATAAAATCTAAATCTACAGAAGGATTTGTGCTAAGGTTTGGAGGTTGATGTTTACAGGACTGGTACATGTCCTGTCTGTCTGTCTGTCTGTCTGTCTGTCTGTCTGTCTGTCTGTCTGTCTGTCTGTCTGTGTGTCTGTGTGTCTGTCTGTCTGCCTGTCTTTTAAAACATTATTTTTCAGATTCATACCTATTTTATAGCCAAGTGAAGGCTGGCAATGTGCAAAATAATGATTGCCAAAAAATCTTATTTTTCTTTTATTATAACCAAGAAAGATCATTACCTGTAAATCTACATAATCATATCACAGCTCACTTGTCAAACGACACACCTCAAAATAATGCAGATTAGTTTGCAAAGTTTCCAAATATGTGTGCCTTTTAATTATTTAATTTATTAATTTATAACAAACACCTTGTATTCTATAAATGCACCTCTAGTTCAGATGTCACCAACCTTTTTAAGGCTGAGAGCTACGTCATGGTCATCAGTCATTGGAAGGGCTACCAATATGAACCTGTGAGCTGGAGGGATCAGCGTTCATATAAACTGCATGGATAATACACATACTTTTTATTGTGTCTTTTAATTTCTATTTGTCTTTTAGATATTGCCATGATGAAATCTCTGTAAATGCTTAAATGCTCTATATCATTAGTATGATAAAATGCTCTATAAATGAATAAAAAAGAAGAGCAACAGAATTAAATTTCAAACTTAGCCCACTGCTAGGTTGATGACGCTGAGGTTATCCCATGCGGTCCTGGAGGGCCCCTAGGGGCCAGTGAGAACTGCATTGTTGACCTCCGCTCTTGTATTTAAAATTCCAATGACAAGAAAGTTTTCCAAATTCTTTTACACTTTAGATCATAAAAAGTAACTGCATAGTTACTTTGGCTAGTAACAAGTTACTTTCACTGAGCCGTAACTGAGTCACTAATTAAGTTACTTTCTTGGAGAAGTAACCTGCCTAACACTCATTATGAAAACCCTAGTATCATTAATGGCAGCAGAGGAGCAGGCCTTCAGCACCAGAGCAATAAAGGCCCAGATCTACAGTACCAGGCAAAATCCCAGGGGCAGGCTAAGTAAAGAAGTATCAAAAACCACCCTACATCTCACAGCGAAGTCTAAGATTCTAGCAGGAGAGGAATCATAACCAAGTGGCTGGTATAGTACACAGCAACATCTGTGCAGGGTACTAAATGGAGACCTCAGGTCAAAATGGGAGCCACATCCCAAACTTGAGTTTAATGATGGAGTTAAGATCCTGTGGGAGTTCAAGATACAAGCAGACAAAATGGTTGTGGCCAACCAACCGGACATTGTGATCAGAGGTGTCTTGACAAAACTTTTTCATTTCCGATACCATACCGATATTACAGCTTTGAGAATTGAACAACGCAGTTATTGACCTGATATGAGATTAGCACAAATCATACATGATTTTAACACTTTGTTTTTACGAAGAATGTTAGAAAAGGCTTGGTCAAGCCATATTACTAAAACAGAAAACGATAATCAGTAATAAGTATGAGAACAATTGACCCATATAATCAATTAATCAATCATTAATCAATGGGCTACAGAACCGCTAAAAAAATGTCAGCATCTGGAAAAAGATCACTTAAAACTGGAGTTTCTCTTCCCTCCGGAGAAAGAGAGGGACGTTCTTTTAGGGTTGAGGGACTAGAATGAGCCTGGAAGGTGAACGTAAATGTAGGGCGAGTGCTTTCAGGGCAGTAAACCCCAGACTGGAGAAGTGTCTCCAAAGAAGTGGTACCTGGAGAAATGTAAGACATCTCAGCCAAGAGAAAGTGCACTATTAAGAACAGCCAAGATATTGCAAAGAAATCTCAAGCTCCCAGGCCTCTGGTACCTGGACCTGCACTTCAGATGACGAGCACCTATTTGCGAATATTTTCAAAGTTAGAGAAGGTAACGGCTCCGCTCTGCTAAGGGAGAACAGTTTGTCAGATGAGCTATGAGCTGGTTTTCATGTCAAAGGGGATGAAAGAGAGCGCATATAGTTAGTCACAGTAAGATCTATATAGATAGATAGATAGATAGATAGATAGATAGATAGATAGATAGATAGATAGATAGATAGATAGATAGATAGATAGATAGAAATATATAGTCTTCGATAATAGAAACTTTGACAGATTATCCCATTTTCACGTGTAATGACTCAGATCTCGATTAATTGACGCTTAGAAATAACTGCTTATGCTTGGTGTGATTCCACGAGAGTGCTCTGTGTGATACTCCAGATGAGCGGTTCGATGTTCGAAAGAAAAGCATTTATCATCTTTACTCATCCCATTCTAAATCGACATTTTACCAGGATACTCCTTGGCATGTGGAAACTCCCTTTTTCTTCCTCTTATCTTGCCATAATACAAAACAATCACAGTTTGCCAGCATTTCAGTGGGATTGATCCCACCGGGAGAGACGTTCTATATAGAAATAATTACATACTGTTAAACAAAAACAGCAGGAAATCCGCAATTCAAACAACAGTAGCGATTAAGCGAATATATATTTGAAGGTAAAAAAGCTTTTTAAAGACATATATATATTATTGGCTTCAATCATAACTTCTTTAGAGGAGGCTAAATGTGAATATAAAAACACTGGGCAGCTTTGTCTCCATCTGATCACCAGCTAAAACAAATGGATGTAATGAACCTGTCATTGTTTGACTAAAGATAAAAATAAGTAATTAATTTGTATTTTATATTTGAGCTCAGATATAAAACGGAGCACCTTTAAAAGTTAAAAGAATTCCTGTGTGATATTTGCAGGAGCCTGGGACAGTCCAGTCAATACTCCAAAGTGCCTTTGTTTGGAACAGGTCCAAGACAAAGATATCAGACCTGAACCCATGATGTCATCCACACAGAAAACACTTCTCCTGCTCTATGATCTAATAATCCTCTTTGACTTGACGTCTCAGCGGTTTACCTTTAACCAAAAGTGGATTATTTCACCATAAGTGGTTCTGTTGGTTAGAACAAAAAAGATCTCCATCCTAATCTGATGTAATCTCTCCTTTACTTCCCCCTTTGTTCATTTATTTGTACGATTATCCAACATTTCTGTATATCAGAACATTTTTGTTATTTAATTCTGAAATGCTCTCTGCAAAGTAAATTAAATTCAAGAGTAGGTAATTATTTGCCACTCACTGATGATTTTCTCACGGATCACATAATTTTGCCATTATACGGATGAAAATTGCATTCAGAAACGCAGATTTGTTATACTTAATGGTATCCTGCACACTATAGATGATATTATGCATCATATTATTAAACTGGAATCTAAATGTTCATTATTCAGCAACTTAAGTACTTATTTTTTCTACATTTTAAAAGCATCAATTTTTATGTTGATATATGTGAAAGCTGTTTTTGGGCATTTTATCAACGGGTCTCAGAGTAAAAGGGGTGCATGCTTGTCAAAATGCGACATATGCGCACAACTATTGAGGATTCTTTTATGATGCAAGATTTAATAATAAAAACAAACTAGATTTCTGATGTAGTTAAGTTTAAAAAATGTGTTCCTTACCGTAAGAAAAGACATTTAGCAAAAGTGCAATGATGATCATCATCCTGTCCGGTGACATGCTTCATCCAGCCTCCTGCTGCGGCTCCTGCTGCTGCGTCCGCTCGGACTCAAAGACCGAAAGATCGGACGGTCTGCTGCTCAAAGTTTTTTCCAAACTGCACAAAGGCGATTCAAGCGCTCGCGCATTTAGTCGCTCCCTTCATTTTCTGTCATTAATAATCGGCGTGCATTCAGAGGATTTGGGTTGCATTGAAAAGTGGGAAATGTTATCAGCAGGCCAGGGTAGAAAGGATCCCGGTTAGAAAGGCGCACCTGTCTGCAAATCGTATTGCCTTTGCACTTCTATGTGCGTTTCCACTCAGCTCAGCTCCACAGTTGTCCACACTTGGAGGCTGAGGCTGTGGAGCAGAGCCAACGTGATTGGTCCCTGAACAGACTGAATATACCAATGGGGAAGATTAAAATGTTTTCTGTCGCAGGACAGCTGGGGCTTTTACTGCAAAGTTGTAACTTGAAGAAAAACAGGTGTAGCTAAAATATAGAGTACATTTAAACCTGTCTTTTATCCTTTTTTAAATTAATGATAAAAAAAAGTACACTGAAAAAAAATCATGCCACCTTTTTTTTTGCCATTTTCTTAATCATATTTAGTTATTTTAACACAATTGTTTCATGTTTTCAAGTGTAGGACATAGAAAAAATGTGATAAAGTATCTAAATATGATTCAGTAGATGTCAAAAACGGTTGCATTAATTTTTTCAGTGTAAATCCTAATGCAGGAAAGGCATTACACAGCAATAAACCCAATAGAAAAAGAACTAGTGTTACTGCTTAAGATTTTTTTTTTTTTTTTTTTTTTTTTTTTTTTTTTAAGATTAAATGCCATGTTGAATATTTTTTCCATATTCACATAGATTGGTCAAAATAAAATCAGTTGATTAGCAACTTTTTGTTTTCAGCCAAGATAATAGGGGAACTTAGTCTGATCATTTATTATAAAAGTTACTGGAAGCCCCCATAAGAAAGAGCCTGTAGGGAGGGAGGACATAAGTGGAGTTATGTACAAGAGTAAAAAGAAAATGTTTAAAGTACAGTGAAATGCTCACTTAAAATCAGATATTTCTTTATCCTCCTAGATTTACCATTGATAAAGCAAAGCATATTTAAGTGCCTTGTCCCAGCTTAAGTTTTTAACCTTGGAAATGGAGAAGGATGAGCTCAGAATGTAAAAAAATATATATAATATAGACTCCAAGCTCTTTAATGAGAAGACATCCTCAGAGTATTTTCTACTTTTCATTAAAGCTAGACAAAGGGAGTGTTGAATCTCACCGCACCTAACCCTATGGTTCAAAGGTGCTTACCCAAAGGAAAGATTTACTAGAATATGACTAGTCACCTATAACCCTTAAGATGTATTTTTCCCTTCCACGTCTGCACACTCAGGTAAAAGGCTCCATATAATAACCTTCTTTGTCAGGAGAAGTAATTCATCCTCATACTTTTACTTTGCACCTTGTTGATAAAATGAGTCACAGGACATCTCAGAGAAGGTTAGCTTTAAAAAAAAATACAGTAAATCAAAAACGGCTTAAGTTTGGCAAATTTCAAAAAATGACTCATTTCACTGCATGAAAACATTGTTCTTGAGATATGATTAAAAATATCCACAGCTGCCTCTATAAGCAAGAGAGAACAAAGCCAATTTCCAGTTGCAAGGGGCATGAAATTGACCTTCTCTCCTCACTGCAATTAAAAAATAGCAGAGGGATTAGTGGATTAATGCACACATCCTGTTTAATGGCACACTCAAGTGGAGGTGGGGGGAAATTGTCTCAGACTGTGATTACCATGCATTTAAAACCAAATGAAAACAACAAGGTAAGACATTTAATAAGACACTTCAAGGAGTCATTGAGGCAATATGAAGTCTTGCACACCAACCAATATAGGGCTTGATGTCTTCTAACTTGTTTCTTTTTGTAAATTTAAGTGTTTAATTTAACAACCTCTCCCCAAGAGTCCTATGAAGCCAGAATCATCTTCACTGAGGAGGTTTGACGCTCCAAAGTACATCAACAGCCCCTCCCTGTGGTCAGCGTTGGGCACAACAGCCGGGTATGCACTTTTAAATACAGTATTAACAGAAATGGGGGAAAAAATCTTACTCAAGTAATAGTAAAACTTCTTCATCATATTTTTATCACAGTGACAGAAAAAAGTGGCTTTTCAAGAAATGACCCAAATGAAAATGAAAAAGTGTTACCTAAGCACTGATCATCAGATTTATAATTTAAAGTGATGTAGTTAGACAAACCAAAATATAAAGTTATGTGCAAGCTATGGTATTATAAAGACTAACTAACTAATGAAGCCAAACAGTTTAAAATACCTCACAGTTGAAAATGTAGTTGTCTCTAAGTATTAGTTTGACTTCTAAACATCATAATAGGCTTAGCCGATATAAAGCAAACTTTTGTACCAAAAAGGAGCATGAATTTTAACATAAACATGACCTGTGTATCTTTGTTTGGAACACTTTGTTTGAAACAAGCTTGTTTGTTTTTTAGGGAAGTTACTCTCAACAGGGGCGCTGATATCATTTTTGAATCTGGCGGGGGGAAGGTATGTCAACCAATAATTTCTACATAAATTTGACTGCATTCCCACTGCAAGGAAAGGTCACCCATATCATTCTGTTTCTTTGTATTGCTACCCAATTCTTATCAAAAATCAAGTTGTGCCATTTCCATATGCATTACTTCGTCAGATATGCTTCGTCAGATCATACTTTCAAAGCATCCGCTGTCTGAATGGTCATGTTGCATTTATCTGTCTTTTACGTCACTATTCAGGCTCTAACTATACACCCCACACACAGCAACAGCAGTTTGGGCTCCATAAAAGACTGTAGACTTAGACTAAGACAAACTTTATCTTTGTCATTTTGTGTACACCGACTGTAAACGAAATTACAAATAAATTTAAATGAGCAGCTTTCAACATTGAAATGAACATTATCATTTTAAGTACATAAGAGATCATTCCGTAAAAATTCAAAAAATATCCACTGGATATACCTCTCCAGGAAGCTTTCTGCCTCTTCTTAGACGGCTGCAATGAGAACAGACCATGAGGGGTGTGAGGGGTCACTTATGATGTTATGGACTCGGGACACGCAGCGCTGCAGCCTCCACACCATACAGTGAGACAGAACACTCTCAATGGAGCTTCTGTAGAAGGTTGTGAGGATGGGTAGGGGCAGG